AGGGCTGAGACTCCCTCATAAGCCCCAACCCTAAACCCCTAAACCCCTAGCCCTAAACCCGAAACCCTAAACCCTAAACCCTAGACCCTAAAAAACCTATGCCGACCTAGGTCACGGGAGCGTTTTGCCATGTGCCTTCAAATACTGGTGGATGGCCAGCAGTAAGTGGCCGCAGCGCGAAGCTCAGTCTAGGGTTTAGGGTTTAGGGTTTAGGGTTTAGGGTTTAGGGTTTAGGGTGGCTCCTTAACTTGTTTCAAGGGTTCTGAAGTATGGGCGTCAGCGCGAAAACTGGAGACCCTAAACCCTAAGCCCTGAAGACCCCAAACCGTAAAGAACCTAAACCCGGAAGACCGGAAAACCCTTTTCAAGGGTTTCGCCAATGAAGGGCCCATAGCAAGGGACCATATAGCGACCCGTAACCCTAAACCCTGAACCCTGAACCCTGAACCCCAAACTCCAAACCCCAAACCCCAAACCCCAAACCCCAAACCCCAAATCCTAAACCCTAAACCCTAAACCCTCAACCCTCAACCCTCAACCCTCAACCCTCAACCCTCAACCCTCAACCCTCAACCCTCAACCCTCAACCCTCAACCCTCAACCCTCAACCCTCAACCCTAACCCAATCAAGGGACCATGTAACCACCCGAAGATTGCCGACTCAGGCCTCTGCTGCGAGGAAGCCCCACAACTGACCTACTGAGGCCGCTTCAGCCCCCTAAAGGGTGTCCATGTACGTTAGGGTTTAGGGTTTAGGGTTTAGGGTTTAGGGTTTAGGGTTTAGGGCTTAGGCTACTTCCTTCATAGAGATTTTGGTGCTCAAGTGTATAATAATGACGTGCATGGGCCCTCAGGGTATAAGACACCGGCTCACCACCTTGGGATTGCAAAGCAATTCGGAGGTGTTGGCACCGTTGCTGCTAAACACCCGAGATTGGGTTTAGGGTTTCGGGTTTAGGGCTTAGGATGTAGGGGTTACTTTTTGCCCGACCGTCCTGTGCAGCGGCGGAATTGTGGGGATTTGCCTTTTCAGGTAGAGGAGCCACTAGGCGACATATGAAACTTTGTCTGAGCTGAGCCTGAGATTGAGTTCTGCATCCTAGAGACCGTGGTTGTTCGCAATGTCTCGCGTCGCCCAGCGACTCTGCATTAAAGATTGAACTCTGATGAAAACACCATCAGAACAGTTTAAAACACCATCAGAACAGTTGAGAGAAGTGTTTGCAAAAGTGGGTGGCATCGCAGGACCCTAAACCCCAAAGCCTATAAACCCTAAAACACTAAACCCTTGTTAACCCGCCAGAACCCACCTGCCAATCGGGGAGAGGTCGCGTCCTCGGCGCAAGTTTCGGACTCTCTCCGGCAAAGGAACCACTATAGTATCAGGTACAAGAATGTGCAAAGTTATTAATATTATGGAGTATCAGATTTGGTTTCAAGGAGATATCCTGTCATTAATGCTACTCATTGTTTCTCTCATTGCTCACGGTACTGCGGGGAGTCTGCTTCGTTTCGAGCTTCTTTTGCTGAAGCTGGAGCTTGCAAAGGTAAGCCCTTCGTAAGCAAAGACGTCTCGGGCTTGCCCCAGTCGGGACCTTGCACAGCTTGTTAAGCAGCTGGGGCCGGTATAGGGTAGCAGAGTCTTTCTCCGTGCCTATGCCAATTGCATAGGATTCCCTGAACTACTTGGAGGTTCATGGGAAGTTCTACGGAAGATTCTAGGTATGGCAACTTTACTTATCAGCCTATTTAGAGTACTTACAAGCCTACTTACAACTACCCACATGAACCTCCAAGTAGGCAGCCCGACCAAGAGGGCACCTGAAGAATCCGGACGGAGGATGCGGTAGCGCGCCTGCTGACTTTCACCCTCCAAGCTCTAAACCCTAAACCCTACACCCTAAACCCTAAACCCTAAACCCTCAACTTGGCCAAGTAGGGGTTTAGGGATTTGGGTTTAGGGTCTAATGGTTGTGACTTATCATGGGCTTTGATATTTGGGGCCTCAGTCAGGTGCAAAGTGAACGAAACTCTGCGCCGCATTCTCATCCGGATGTCCAGCAGGGCCAATCAGAGTGATGACGACTCACCTGTTCAATCGGGTGGGCGTCCATTGCATTCACCTAGGCGAAACGGGACGTCAGCTCACAGCAAACCAGGAGGTTCGACAGATCCGACCGCGCGCCTGCTGGAAATCCCGAGTTTCCCCGCCTATTTTCCTGCGAACAGGATGGAGGCAGAAAAGAAGCGGCCTGGTGTAGGGTTGAGGGTCGGGATGTACCCCCTTATACTAACAGTCCTTTGATGGGGAATGTGGTACCACCTATTATAATCCCCATTAAGGACTGTTAGGATAAGGGGGGAACATCCCGAGTTAGGGCTTTTTTGCCTTAGACTCACTCTAATAAATTTAGGCCCTTACGAGTAAGATTCGTAGTTTCACTTCATGCCATGTCCAGGGTTTTGGGCTTGAGTGGGTTTATAGTTTAGGGACTTGTGCTTCAGGGTTTCTACCCTAAACCCTAGATCCTTAGGGTTTAGGGTTTAGGGTTTGGGGTTTAGGGTTTAGGGTTTAGGGTTTAGGCGCCAGTCCTCGTGCACAAGTCGATTTCGGCTCCGCAGTGGTCCCAGGGTCCCCCCCCCCCGTCGCCCATTTCCACCATGGCCAGCGCGCCCCTCCTTGACAAGCCTGCGAAGCCTGCGAAGGCCGACCCGCAACCCTAAAATGACCAATCCGGGTTTAGGGTTTAGGGTTTAGTGTCTAAATCCTATAAACCCTACACCGCCTAAACCCTGAGCCCTTTAAATCCCGACCGGCCAATCAGTTCAAGGTTTCGGGGATTCGGCTCTGGGGCTGGGACCTGGCTCACCATAGGAGTTCACACGCGTCACAGCCTCTGCACAGCAGTTCAGGGTTTAGGGCGGTTCAGGGGTTAGGTTTTAGGGCTTAGGGTTGAGGGTTTAGGGAGCCCTTGAGAGCGTTTTCTGTCCGAGCGCCTCGATTTCGGGGGCTTACGAAAATGATTCAAAATTTGGGTTTTGGGCTTTTCTGAAAAGGGCGGGTGCCTTTGCCACCCAGTCTTTAAAGGACTCCACCCCTGTCACGTTGGCACGACATCCACCCCTGGAGCATAGACGTTGGCCCCACATCCGCCTGCATCGCGGTTTAATTCGGGTTTGGGGGTGTGGGCCCCCCACTCCTGCACCCCCGAATCCAGTTCTCCCCAAACCCTAAACCCTAAACCCTAAACCCTAAAAGGCCGGTCACTCGAAATTGTCCATCTTCTATGGTGCAGATGAGTACTTGGCGGAGAGTCTTGGCATGAGCCTGCTAGGTGCTGGGGTTGCTCCGTGAAAGGAATAGGTTTAGGGTTTAGGGTTTAGGGTTTAGGGTTTAGGGTTTAGGGTTTAGGGTTTAGGGTTTAGGGTTTAGGGTTTAGGGTTTAGGCCCCTTTTTAAGGACCCACGGTAGGAGATGATTGGAGTCCTGTCTAAACCTCACGACCGCAAGATTCGCAGCAATCGGATGCGGACAGGAGCACGGCCCCAAAGATCTGACAACTGTCAGAGGGTATTGGGTGTAGGCGGGGCAGAACCGGCCATGTACCCCAAATCCCGGTGTGACCAGGTCCCTCATTCTGCTCTCCCTAAACCCTACACCCTAAACCCCAAACCCTAAACCCTGAACCCCAAACCCTAAACCCTAGGCTCTACACTCCAAGCCCAAAGTCCTTAACCCCATGACCTGCACGGCCACCTTGTTGGGCCACAAGGCTTCAGAAGAAGTACGAGCTCGATCACGCGACCCGCCTTTGCTTGCCAAAGATTAGAGTTCCGGGTGCCGGGTTGGACTACAGGGTCTATACTTGGAAGCCCTTTTTGACTTAGTAAGTAGAGTTCGTAAGATAGGATATGGGGATTAGGATGGGGTTTCTAGGGGATACGAGGGAGTCCTATGAAGTCAGCTTCCAAGTATGGTGTTGTTCCAAAAGTCCTTCTCGGGAAAGTCTTTTGGGTTTCCTATGGGTGTAGATGGGAAACATGGAAGTTTTTTATGAGCAGATATGTTGATCAACTACCGTGGAGGTTTCCGAACATAGGCGACCCCAAATATAGGCCCCCAATAGAAGATTCCTTCATCATAACGACCCGAATAGGGTACCCTAAATTTCGGAAACCCCATGTAGATCTTGTCTCTGTGTGGCAATGTGTTGGGCTTTAGGGGGCTTTAGGGCTTCTAAGCTTTAGGGCCCTTAAGCCTGTAGTACTACACCCACAAGAACTCCTTGAACCCCGAACCCATGGGATGCTCTTGGGTTCAGGGTTGAGGGTTTAGGGGTTTGGGGTTTAGGGTTTAGGGTTTAGGGTTTAGGGTTTAGGTTATAGGGTTTAGGGTCTCCTGAAATAAAGTCGCAGTTTGCCGGGCTAGTCAGGACCGCTCAACTGTTGGGCCCAGAGTGAGTCAAGGTGTCGTAAGAACATTTCGTGCAGCAGTGCCTTTGAAATCAACTGCCGGGCCTCGGTGTCCCTTGTTTCCATTCATATAATCTCAGCCCTTTTACCCTAAACCCTAAAGCCTAAACCCTGAAAATAGAATCCAATCCCGGGACCGTTCAAAGACAGAGACAAGATCAGCATCGCATGTTCAGAGGGGGGGGGGGGAGGAAGGGGCAAGGTTGCCTTACATCATACTATAAGGCTTCCTATTATAGTTTAAGGAATACTCTTAAATCATACTATAAGGATCCCTAGTATGGTTTAAGGAATATTCCTTACATCATGCTATAAGGATCCCTGTAAGGTTTAAGGAATATAGTGCTTCATTGAGGGGAGTATCTCCTCTCTTGCTACTACTCCGGAAAGCGCTCTGAGCCGGCCGAAACCATGCTTGCTATTTACTAGCTACCTAAACCCCGGCTTCTAAGCCCTGAAGCCCTGAAGACAGCACGGTGAGCCTGATACCACCCTGCCCTAGACCCGAAACCCGAAACCCTAAACCCTCAACCCTCAACCCTGCCCTCCCAAGCCTTCTTCCAGCCGTGAAAGCGGCCCCGTTGGCTGAGGGTACCCAAGGCGTTGGGAAAGGCGTGGTGCACGTCGTGGAACAGCATCTCATTCCAGCGGTGCTTTCCCCCCACGGCCAAGGCCATGACCTTCTGCAAAGCAGGCTGGGGGTAGACTGCAGGGATGGACACTATGCGGCGAAAGCTCCATCCAGCAATCTAACAAAAAACTGGTGGTGTGCAAGGCCTATAACTACAGTCCCGAATAAGGCCAGCCACATTGTGAAGAACTGGCCAGGTGCGGCCCGGGTCCTTCTCCAAGAACTTGTTCCAGGGGAGCGAGGGCGTGAAGTTCGTGATAAACATCCAGGCGAGGGAGAAGCCCACACGTGCCGCACACGTCACTGGAAGCACGAAGCGCCAGCCTTCACTCAAGTGGCCTGCCGAGGGGCCATGTGCCCAAAAGCCAAACGCACGCCCACAACCCGAGGACCACCGAGTTGTGTTTCACCCGCCGAGGCATCCATTTTGACCAGAACTCCTTGTTGCACTTTCCGCTCGCATCGGCTTCGGGGAAGCTCATCCACCACTCAAGCGTGAAGAGGAAGCCGGTGTCATTCAGGCCGAAGAAATGAATCACAGGGATCCACGGCACCGTCAACCTCTACTGAACTTGGAACCCAAACAAAAAATCTGAATTTCACCTGTTTCTTAGGAATTTTTGTACCCAAAGATTATATATTAAAAAAAGAAACTATTCCCAAGTATCCCCCTAAGCAACAAGTACTTGTACCAGTTTGGCCCCATGGGTCCAGCCCACTGCTGTAGGGCTGCATGAGCCTCCGCTGGCCCTGTAAAATCCCCTCCGAAAACTGTTGAATGCTCCTAAACCCTAAACCCTAAAGCCTATAGACCCTAAAAAAAGCACCCTCTTGAACGCAAGAAAGATAAAGTTGCAAAACGTCTTAAGTGCTGTTTCTTTCTCGCTTTCTCACTCTCTCTCTCTCTCTCTCTCCTCTCTCTCTCTCTTTCTCTCTCTCTCTCTCTCTCTCTCTCTCTCTGTGTTTGCTACCCCTTTCTACCACACTCCCTCATTCCTGCCTCTTCTTCGAGTGCTGCTGCGTAAAGCCTCAATCTGAGAAAAACGCTCCCTGCCCACACAAGCTCTGTCAGAATCCCGAGGAGCCAACTTCTTGAAGCGCTCCGGCGACACCGTGAAGTGCCTGGAGTTCCCTTTTCCTGACGAACGAAAAAATGTAGAACTCGCGCCGCAAAAACACTCCCCATGCACCCCATCCAAGCCGCAGACCCACATCAATGAAGACAACGATGTGGGAAGCCGCCTCCACGAGACCACGCCGCTCCCACCCGCCCGCTCCTCCCTCCCACTCTCCAATCGACACCTCTTCCGCAGGCCGCTTCTTTGCCTCCTTGCTCGGCTTCATTGTCGGCTTCTTTACCTGCTGCCCCCGCACCCCCGCTTCCCCCCTTCCCCCCTTCCCACACGCTGCCAGCCTTGCGGGCGTTGCCCTGACCAAAACGTCTGCAAACGTGAAACAAGAACGCATCACAAAAAAAACAACGACGAAACACTGGGACCACGACGCAAATGCGGCACAACTCTGTGTCCTTCGACTGCCGGTTGTAGTAGTTGCCACAATACTTGAACTTGGCATCCACCGCCCCTCAACCCCAATGCCTCCCGCACTTCAACCCCATGAAATGTCTAAGAAGCGGACGTTTGCGCACTTTGTCTGGTGTTTCTGCGCCTGACATTTGCGCGAGCCCACGCACACACAAGCACGCACGCACGCGCTTGACCTTCCCAACAACACCTGCCTGCTTAGACCGACGAGAAGACGAGGACGGCTCTTTCGAGGACGGCTCTTTCGACAACTCCGCCTTCACCCTAGCCATCGCCTCACAGGTAGGGAGCAAGTCCACAGTGCTTGCGTGATGCCGGGCATGCTCCAAGACGAATTCCTCCCATGGCAGCGAGATGAAGTCGCTGAAAGGGTGCGTGATAAACCTGCAGTGCCAACCGGGACCCTCGGGACCCTAAACCCTAAACTCTGAACCCTAAACCCTCAACCCTGAATCCTAAACCCCGAACCCTACTCCAACCTGATTTGTAGTCTTGAAAGACCCCCCAACCAGGTATATGTACTAAACCGTATGGATGCGAGGCGGGGGCGAGCTCCAACAGGATAACAGGGCCCTGGTTTACAACAGTTCCCAACTGAAGCTGTAGCAGCCTCTGAGGTCAAAGTTCAGCGGGTTTAGGGTTTAGGGTTCCAGCAAAGCACCTTCCCTTAAATCCTCAACCTTTCACCCGGATTGACAGTCCCAAACTGTGCCATGAACGACCCGCACCCTCTTAATATGAAAGCTGTATGGAACGGCGGAAGCAAGGAGAGACCCATGTATGGCAGGAAGGCCGACTTTCTAGAGTTCAGATTAGTACTGTTTGCCTAAGAACTCCCCCAAGAAAACAAGTTAGATTCTTCCATTTACGGACAATATAGGTATTGTTATTCTATTTTTTGTTTTTTTTGGGGGGGGTTCTTAAGCAAATGGTAGATTACGGTGGTTGCCCGGGTATGAAGCTGTGCAGCTTTTGGAACTCGTACACGGGGAACGTCACTCCGTGCATTACCTGAAGCTTTTGCACAGAGACAGCGAGAGAAAGCGGTGATTAAGGCAGTTTGGCATGAAGCAATAGACAGAAGAGAGAGAGAGAGAGAGAGAGAGAGAGTGAGAGAGAGAGAGCACGAGAGAAGAAGAAAAACAAGAATAACTTGAGACTAACCAGGAAATTCTTCATGCAGGCAACAAACAACATACACGACGCCGCCTCCAAAGTTAGTCACCTGCTTTCCAAATCAATAACAAAAAGACCGATACTTCTCGTGGAATCACAGATGCATCATGATCGATGTAGATCTGCTGGATGCAAATGTAGGCGAATGGAGCGCCAAAGCAGAGCGTGCAGGTCCTGTAGTGCTCCGGGAACACGGCAAGGGCCGCACAGCACGAGATGATCATCAGGCACTGCAAGCAGAAGATGAATGTCAGCACCTAAAGCCACGGTTTAGGGTTTAGGGTTTAGGGTTTCGGGTTTAGGGTTTAGGGAACAGGTGCTTGGTGCTCATATGGGTTCAGATTGTCTTCAGGACTCCTTGGGACAGAAAACAACTGGCGCCAAACGCAACATCTCTGCAGTCATAGTGGATCAACTTCGTTGTTGCTACTGAACAGGAAACCCCAAATATTGAAGCTCTTTTGTTGGCTAAATCAGAAAGCCATGCCGCGTTCCACATGTAGATCATTTGCTCCGGCGTTATCCTGAGCTAGGTCCAGGTTGAGCTGGACTGGCGGAAAACTGAGCTTCTTCTGCCATCAATTAATGTTTCGAAAATTTGCAAAGCTTGACCAGGATCTTGGTGAACAAGAAGGCCAGTTCCTGTGGCATGGGATCCGGCTTATTCCTGAGCTGAGCTGGGAATCAAGAAGCAAACCGAACATAACCGAAGGACCCGGACCTCACTTACAGCATATCCAAAATCCCAAGCCTGTAAGAACCTCTACCTTCCCCTCCCCCCCCCCCAACCCCCCCGCGCCCCTGCCCCGCAAGACCTAAGAAACCCTTACCCCCAACGACACAACATACGCGGAGAAAGTCGTCTGAACATCTACTATAGGGGTCGGAGTAATTACTAATACTATTCCCTTAGGGTCCCTTAATAAGTATACTACAATAACCCCCACAACCAAAACCCTAAACCCTAAAACCCTACCCCCTGTTCTAATTATTCAGTCCCCTATATTACGCCAATCTTCGGAACTGGGAAGAGGCGGCCCGTCTTCAAGCTCCGGTTCTGGTCATTCCTTCGCGCAGCGTCATGGCTTAAAAGGACTTGCTTCCTTGAAATCTTGAAACCTTGAAACCCTAAACCCTAAACCGCAAACCCTAAACCCTAACCCCAATTGTGTGTTGACAATGTGGCTCAAGGGTATTGGGCATTCATTAACCTAGCCTTGAGCACTAGGATCGTCTCCACAAGGCTGTCCGAGGTTTTCCTGTTAGGGTTTGGGGTCCAGGGTTCAGGGTTTAGTCTGAAAGCCGGCTTTTGGGCACAGACGCACCCACACACACAGTCTCACACACTCTCACTCTCAGCAATCTTTATACGGAGCCCGATGATATACAACCACCCAAAGACATCATAAGAACCCTCCCGTATACGGGCCTATATGGTCCATAGAAACTTCTTCCAATTCACCCCAAACCCCAAAAAGCCCTAAGCCCTAAAGCCTAAACACTAAACCCCAAACCCCAAACCCCAAAACCAGCCCAGGCGCTTCTCCACGCTCAGCACCTTGTCATTGCTCGGCTTGGCGCTGGCCGCGTGCGGGTCTCCCTCGTCAGGCTGGGCACGCTTCAGGGTGACGATCTCCTCGGTGAATGGATCTGGGGTTTAGGGTTTAGGGTTTGGGGTTTAGGGTTCAGGGTTCAGGGTTTAGGTGGATTTGGGACGAAAGGCTTCATGCTTTTCCAAAGAGGAGCAGAAGGGATCATAGGGATAAGAAGGTGGGATCATCGGGTTAACAGTGAGAATTGGGATAAACAGAGATAGTAGGGATAATGTTGTACCTGCTTTAAGTGGTGTCCCTTACCTAAGGGGTATGAAGGGCTCTTTGGGTACTGAGGTGCACGACGCCTCCGTGGAGGTCTTGGCGCGTGGGCTCTGGAAGCCGAACGGGGACGAGGAGACGGAGATGCAGAAATCTCAGAAGAAGCGTTCCTTAGGGACTGGGTAGGTAACCTTTAACCTTTCTTGGTTATATAGAACATATTTCGAATGTAGAATTCTGCTACATAAAAGCTGAACCTTTTTGTTTTTTTGGGATAGGGTATTTCGGGCCCTAAGGTTCTCTCTTGATGAAGAAGGCAGGGGCCGCTTAATTCATTTGCAAGCACCATCTGCCCCCCCAAAGTAGACTTTGGGGCCTTTGCCGGGCACGGATGTGGTGAGCTACCCGGCCAAGTCGACTTTAGACCCCAATGTAGGTATTATTTGTATACTTGGAGCCCTAGGGATTGTGTTAGTCATTGTCGCAGCAGCCTCTACGGGAGGAAGGCAAGAAAATACTGAATGCTCCGGAGTTGGGTCTGCCTGTCCGCATCTCTCCGCCGCGCTTGCCCCTCAAAAGCTTCCCGCTTCCCACCCGCCGTGATGGCTCCGAGTTGACACAGCCATATGAGGGTTGTTCTAGATGATTCTGGCCGGACGGAGCTCTGCGGACTTTTGTGCACATTACACTTCTACCCTAAACCCTATAAACCCTATGACCCTAAACCCTGCACATTTGTCAAACTTGCTGTGGGCCCCAGAGAAGATCTAGGGCACCTGGACCGTTGCGGCTTAGAACCCCAAACCCTAAACCCCAGCAACCGGAACTCATCCCAGCCTTCGCTGCTTTCTCATAAAACTACCCCGATCATCCGGCGATGGCGGTCGTTGACGCTGAGCCAGCTGCTGTGGCTGCAGAGCCAACAGCGCCTTGTCTTTCAACAGCATTGTAGGTTGTTGACCAGGATCCAGAGAAGGCCCTTATTCCCTCGTTTACGCAAAAAGGGCCCCCCTTTTTCTTCCCAGGTCCTGCATCTAGCTCAGGGAGAGCCCAATACGCTTGACATGACAGAAACCCTAAACCCTAAACCCTAACGGGGTTTGGCTGTTCTCGGGTTTGGCTGTTTTCGTAATAGTCAAGGAGAGCTGGCACTCTGGCAGGCGTAAGCAAGGCGGTTCGAGTTCTGAGACCTTGGACTTCGATGTGGGTGGCCTTAAGGGCTGACTGTAAAACCCTAAACCCTAGACCCTAAACCCTAAACCCTAAATCCCAAACCTCAAACCGCAACCCCCGAACTGTAACACTAGGCTTCAGTTAGGGCAACATGGCATGGAGCTGTGGGGGTTCGGTCGTTTCCAGCTTCCAGAGACTCCGACATCCGCTCTTTACGGGCACATTCCTGAAGTCGGGTTTAGAGTTTAGGGTTCCTGTTTGCAACTTACAAGGAATATTCCATGTTGTGCCATCTAGTTGCGGCCCTAAGCCGCAAACCCTACCTTAATAGCCCGAAACCTACCTCATTGTAGGTTACTGAAGAATTTTTATCACCGGGCTTGTATCAAGAAACCACAAACAAGTGGGTGTTTCCGAACATAGGGGCGCCATGTTGATTTTGAGGTTCCTATCAGAAACCCTAAACCCCTAAACCCCAAAAAGACACAAACCTAAACGCGAGGAGAAGCTGCGCGGCTATGACTTCTGGAGGTCCATTGGGTCCCCAAAGTATGTCTGCGCGCCCATGGTCGACCAGCCGGAGCCTCCAAAGGGTTTAGGGTTTAGGGTTTAGGGTTTAGGGTTGGGGTTTACGGTCTAGGGCGTCGTTTTTTTCGGAGCATAAACATCCCTGAACCTTTTCGAGGTTTGGGCTCTAGGGTTCCTTAGCTCATAATTATACAGACTCTTACTATGGTTTTCGCATTTTAGAAATGGGATTCATTACGGAAAAGTTGGGTCGTGATTCCTTCGTAGTTCTGCAGCAGTGCAGAAGCATGTGGGGTAAAAGACTACAGCCAGTATCGGCAGGGTGAGTTCTGCGATAGCCCTCTTCCCTGCACCCCAAAACCGAAAGCCACCCGAGATGGGCCGAACTTGCGTGGCATGCTCCTTCTTCCCTGATGCATGTATGCCATGTATTCTCATGCATCAATATCTGCGTGGTCCACGATCCCATGGCCTCTGCTCAGGACAGAGGCAGGATTCATTGCCTCATCTCTGAACGCAGGTTCGTTCAGGGTTACCCTAAACGTCCATGTACCTCATTATTATACACTTGGGCCCCAAAGTCCCTACATAGGAAGTACTGTAAGACCGAAGTAGTCCCTATTTAGGTTCATGGGCCCTTTAGGGTTAGCCCTAAACCCTAAACCCTAAGCCCTAAACCCTAAACCCTAAACCCGTTGTCCTTAAGCCTGGCCCGTCGCCAGCCTTCACGAGCCCTGAGCGTCCTTCCTCGTTGCTCCCGTGCGAAGGTCCGAACTAGCTTTTCGCATGCTCTGCCGCCGGTGCCCGCATAGGGTTTAGGGTTTAGGGTTTAGGGAGAGAGCCCAATACCCCTTAATGAAGGAATATACCTTAAATCCTTCCTTATATGGTTTAAGGTAGATTCCTTAATTAAGGGGTATTGGGCTCTTTGGGGAGTGTCTGATACATGCTCATTCATGAGGATACTTGGAGGTTCATGGTGGTTGTTAACCAATTCTAACTGTACTTATAACCCACTTTTAAGCCCCTTAAGTGCCCTGACATGGTTATAAGTACAGTTCTACAGTTATAATTGGTTAATACGTACCATGAACCTCCAAGCAATTGTGCGTTCATCCACTGGAGCACTTCCTAGCAGAGTGATCTCTTGTCAGGTACGGGACGGAGCTATGCTACACACCCATGCTGACTCTCGGCAAGGAATTTGGCTGTAAATCTATGCTCGCTTTGAAACGCTGAGCGTTGGGCAACCTGAATTCATGACAACTGTGGCAGCAATATCTAGTGTCTACGTGACCTCAGCAGTTGGAGTGGAGCGCACCGAACGCTGCGGATAAACACGAGTTTCAGGCTTGTCAATTGAATATGCGCATTGCTCGCGAGGCACTCCCGTATGTACTGAGCTCGGAACAAAGGGTGCAGCAGGAAGTCGTGATGTCAAGTGCATGTGGTGAAAGTCCGTGGTAGTGTCGCAGCTGATGCCGTGCATATGCGCGTAACTGTCCTTCGATTCCTCTACTCCAGGTTTTCGACGCAGCCCAAGTACAGGAAAGAGCAGTTCTCCACCTGTCCGGAGGAACAAGTGCACCCCTATTCAATCCCTTCAAGGGTATACTATATTATATACATATATATATGTTTAGGTATATGCATATACATATACATACACACACATACACATATGTATATATATATATATATACACACACTCACTCTCTCTCTCTCTCTCTCTCTCTTTCTCTCTTCCTCTCCATTATGAATTCATGGTTGCATTCCGGCTGGCCCCGCCCCCGCGCCCCTCATCCCCCCTTCCCCCGGTGATGTGGGTTTTAGGGTTTAGGCCTTAGGGTTACATTGGGGTTTAGGGTTTAGGGTTTAGGGTTTAGGGTTACCTTGGGGTTTATACGGTTTTAGGGTTCGGGTTCTTGGTTCAGGGTTTAGGGCTCAGGGTTGCAGGGTTTTAGGGTTCAGGGCTTCGGGTGTCAGCAGGGTGGAAGGGGGGTGGGGGGGGAGACCGTATACCATGGGGAGGGTGGGGGAGGATGCCATTGGAGGCAGGGGGGGGATGGGCCGAGAACGCACATAGGGGCTGAACCCTGAACCCTGAACCCTGAACCCTGAACCCTGAACCCTGAA